CTTGTGTAATCATGATGGTGGTCACCATTATTCAGATTCCAGATGAATGACTCCCTTGAGAATTTCTTGCAGGGTTGGTCATGTGGTAGTGAACTCCCACAGCTTTTGTCGCTGCCTCAGTGTCTGCTCGGTTGCCCACTAGAGCCTTGGGTGCATGGTCGCCTCGGGTCTTGGGCCTCTCTGGGGAGGCACCCCTCTGGTCAGCATGCACTCGGCTGTGCTGGGGATGGAGTCGGGTGGTGGCAGCAAGACCTACCTGCTGGATCGCGTACTGACACTGCAGGGCGCATGGTCTCTGTGGATCTTCTGCTTCTCCGGCTGGGTGGCTCTCTGATCAGCGTGCACTTGGCTTGGCTGGGAATGGAGTCAAGCAGTGGCGGTGAGGCCTACCTGCTGGGTCACACGCTGGCACCGCAGGGCATGTGGTCTCTGCGGATCTGCTGTGTTCAAGAAGGTGAGAGCAGACTGAAGGAAGGTGAGTGGAGTGGACAGGACTGGAGAAGGCAGCAGGCTTGTAGATTTCAACTCCCACAGCTTTTGTCTGTCTGGGAAATATACTATTTCTCCCTCATTTCTGAAGGAGAGCCTTGCTGGGTAAAGAATTCTTGGCTGGCATTTTTTTTTTAGTATTTTGAATATATCATTCTACTTTCTTCTGGCTTGTAGGGTTTCAGTTGAGAAGTCTGCTGTTAGTTTGATGGGGGTTCCCCTATAAGTGACCTGATGCTTTTCTCTTGCTGCTTGTAGAATTCTCTCTTTGTCTTTGAGTTTTGCAAATTTAACTATAATATGTCTTGGGGAGGGTCTTTTTGGATTGAATTTGTTTGGGGACCTTTGAGCTTCCTGGATCTAAAGGTATATATCTCGCCCTATACCTGCAAAGTTTTCTGTTACTATTTCCTTGAGTACATTTTCAATACCTTTTCCTTTCTTCTCCCCTTCAGGAATACCAACGATTTGGATGTTAGAGCACTTGAGGTTGTCTGCTATCTCTCTTAGATTTTCCTCATTATTTTTAATTCTTTTTTCCTTTTTTTTGTCTGCCTGAGTTATCTCAAAAAGACCATCTTCAAGCTCTGAAATTCTTTCTTCTGCTTGCTCTACCCTACTGCTCAAGCTCTCAGTTGTGTTTTTTATTTCACTGAGTCTTTCATTTCTAGAAGTTCTGCTACACTCTTTTTAAAGGTATTAATCTCTTTGTAGATTTCCTCCTTCATATTCTGGATATTTTTTCTTGTTCATTGTGTTCTCTAATTGAGTCTTCCTTTATTTCTTCAAGTTTTCTTAAGATCATTGCTTGAAATTCTTCTTCACACATTTCAAGGATTCCGTTCCATGAAGTCTGACTTTGGAGCACTACTGTATTCTTTTGGTGGTGTCATTTCTTCTTGATTGTTTGTACTCCTAGTATTTTTTCATTGACATTTGGTCATTTGGTAGAGGGTTTGTTTCTTCTATTACACTGAGGTTGGCTATGAAGTGGCCCTGGTTGCTACTGTGGAGATGAATTACCTTTGCTTGATAGTAGGTATGGTGGTGACGTTAAACCACCTTAGTTCCTGTTCCAGAATCTGTGGATGTAAAATGAGCCCCTAGCACCACGTGGTTCTGCTGGGCACACCTCGGTGGGTCAGAACCTGCGGGGTGGTGCTCTCCTCTGGTCCAAGGAGGGCAGGGAGGGGCCACCTCTAGCTGCGCAGTTCTGACCCTGCTGCTGCTGAGCTCACCTCAGCATGGGTCAGGGCGTGGGGCAGGCTGGCACTCACTCCTCCAGGTCCAAAGAGTTGGGAGGGGCCGCCTCTAGCTGCGCAGTTCTGCTGTCACTGCTGCTGCCAGGCTCACCTAGGCCCAGCCCATTACGTTTGAATAGAAAGAAATTAAAGCAGAGGGACAAAAGTCTAAGTTCTTAGAGGACAGAATAGACCATGGCTGGTTCTCAGCAGTGTCTACTACACAGCACACAGATGAGGAACTGCACAACTAACTCCAGGGGGTGCCATTTACAGCCACATACAGTGACCCTATGCTAAGGCTATGGCATTCCTCAATAACAGAAAGGCCAGAATGACTGGCACAGGGTGGCAGGAAGTGAAGCCAGACCAGACTGTGTCTTACAAGGAGTCTGTGATTCATGCAAAAGGAAATGGGGAGTGAAAGGTTGAAGCAGAGGTATGGCAAGGTCAGATGCATCGTTACAAGAAATATCTCCCTGCCTTATGCAGGGAGAATGGACTGGAGAAGGGCCAAGGTCTAAGTGCTGTGTCTTACAAGGAGTCTGTGATTCATGCAAAAGGAAATGGGGAGTGAAAGGTTGAAGCAGGGGTATGGCAAGGTCAGATGCATCGTTACAAGAAATATCTCCCTGCCTTATGCAGGGAGAATGGACTGGAGAAGGGCCAAGGTCTAAGTGTTTGCTTTTTAAAAAAATTTTATTTTCTTGTGGTAAAAACACTTAACATAAGATCCATTCCCAAAGTTTTAAGTGTACATAACCGTTGACTCTAGATATGATGTTGTAGGCAGATCTCTAGTGTATTCATCTTACTTAACTGAAATTTTATGCCCATGGATTAAGCAGCTCCCCATTTTCCCCTCCCCCAATTCCTGTCCACCACCATTCCACTCTTTAGTTCGACTAATTTGACTGTTTTAGATACCACATAATAGTGGAATCACGTGATATTTGCCCTTCTGTGATTGGCTAACTTCACTTAGCAAAATGTCTTCCAGGTTCATTTACTTTGTCACAAACGGCAGGATTCCCTTCTTCTCTAAGGCTGAGTAGTGACTATTGTACGTATACATGTTTTATTAACCATTCATGTGGCTACTGTAAATACTGCTGCAATGAACACAGGAGCGTAAACATCTCTTCACAATCCGGATTCCAGTTTTTTTGGATATACACCCAGGACTGCTGGATCACTGGCAGTTCTATTTCACTTTCTGAGGGTCCTCCACACTTTCTTCTACAGCGGCCGCACCACTTTGCATTCCCCCCATGTTGTGCAAGCGTTCCAATTTCTCCACATCCTTGCTAACACCTGCCATCTCTCGACTTTTTGATAACAGTAGTCCTGAGAGGTGTGAGGTGACATCTCACTGTGGTTTTTATCTGCATTTCTGATGAGTACTGATGTTGAACACCTTTTCATATCCTTACTAGCCATTTATATGTCTTCTTTGGAGAAATGTCTATTCAAGTCTTCAGCCCATTTTTTAATCAGGTCATCAGTTTTTTTGCTATTGAGTTGCAGGAGTTCCTTATATATTTTGGAAATTAACCCCTTGTCAGATATATAGTTTGCAAATATTTTCTCCCCTCCCATTGGTTGTCTTTTCACACTCTGTTAATTGTGTCCTTTCCTGTGCAGAAGCTTTTCAGTTTGATATACTTCTACTTGTCCATTTTTGCTTTTGTTGCCTGTGCTTTTTGTGTCATATCCAAGAAATCATGGGCAAGACCAATGTCATGAAGTTTTGATCTAAGTGCTTTCTAAGAAGACTTGGATTAGACGTGGCAAAAGGGAGAGAGAAAAATATTTTCAGGATAGAAGTAAGGAAACCTGGTAATTAATGAGATAAGAGGAGGAAGCAGAGGTGAAATGTGGATTTCTGGCTTAGACAGCTAAGCAGATAGAGGTCCCATTTAATGAGACGTGGAGCACATCAGAAGGAACAAGCTGGGGGTGGTGGGAAGAGGCAGGTTAAGATAAACTGTTCACTGAGCAAACATTTACAGAGCGCCTTCTAAACGCCAGGCCCTGGTCCAGGTGCTGGGAATGGGGCAGCAACAAATACAAACAATATCTCTGCTCTCACTTAGTTTTTACATCCTAGTTGGCAAAACAAGACAAAAGAAGTAAAATACTCGGCATATATATAACATATATACATACGTATATACATATATAAAATGTATTGGGAGTAGTGGCCAGGGAGAATCCTGAGGAGAGTAACATTTGAATAAAGAAATACAGAAAGTGGTCCTGCATTTGGCTTGGGATAATGCTGGGCTGAGATGTCTGGGAGACACACAAAGGAACTTGTCACATCGTGAGTGTTGCCGTCAGGAGCATGGAAGCAAGGTCTGTTGGGGATCTGAGTTCCCAGCACATAAGGTGTGAGTGAGCGACACAATGGATGGGAGATGAGACTGTACTTGGGCAGAGAAGGCAGCACCCCAGGGCAGACGTCTGAGCACAGAGCCAGCAAGAAAGACGCAGCAGCAGCCAGAGGAGGAGGAGGAGGTAAGAGGCTGGCATTACAGAAGCCAAGGGGGTCAGGGGAGGTTTGCTTTCTAGGATGAACTAGGCCTGAGTGTGTTTCAGTGCTAATGGAAAAGTACTAAGAAGAGAAAGAGACTGAAGCTATAGGAGAGAGGTGAACAGCACAAGGTTCCTGAGAAGGCTGGAGGGCATGGGGTCCCGCCACAAAACTGGTCTTTGGAGAACAAGGCCTCCATCTAATGGAAAAGGGGTGGGAAGGTGGGGAAAGATGCACGTGCAGACAGATTTCTAGATGTGGCAGGAGGAAGATGAGGAAGTGCCCAACCATTAGCTTCTTTGTTCTGAGCAGGAGCTGATCTCATCTGCTGAGACAAAGCCTAAAGGAGGGGGGTCTGGGAGTTGCACCAGAGTGAAGATGGTCTAGCCGACCTATGGCAAGTGGAGGACTGAGCTGCAGAGAAAAACCCAGTAACTGGGAATAGCGAAGGCACAGTTGAAGTTGGAAGCTACGAATTTACACTGGAACCAAGCCATCCAGATGTTCAGTTTTATTCAGAGGCATCCAGCTACTCAGGGGGATGTTTGGAGAGAACAGGTAAGTTGGCTCATCCAGGAATACAGAGTATTTACTCACTAAATACTTGTGCTTGTATCCTTAAATTCACCCCTTTGAAAATAGTAACAGCTTCTCCAAAGTACAATTGTATTCCATACACAAGCAGCGTATAACAGGTGCTAAACATATGCTTCTTGACTTGACTTAAGACTCACCTGATGTTTCAGTGGAGAGTCTATCCTCCTGAATTCAGAAGGCTGATTCTCTAGCTGATAGACAATCAGGCCCCTCTCCGCAGTTGCCACCACAGCCATAGGATATATCTAGGGATGGAGGAAAGCAAAGACAAGCTTCAAATGAAGGAGTGGATATTAGATCAACATATTAGATCGATTGTTTCAGTCCCAAAATTAAATCTGAATTTTCTTAAGTTTAATAATACAATGATATCAACATTTCAAAAAACCTAGAAAAAACATATTTGAAAGTAGAACATTATGTATTTTTAAAATACTCTTTTTAAAGAAACTAACATAAAATATGTGAATATTTATAGAATATACTGAGGAACTGAGAAGAAATGAAAATCATCTATGCCACCCCTTCAAATAACCGCTAAAATTATGGTATATTTTATTCCAGTCTTTTTTCTGAGCATACTTGTGTATGTATATTTCTGTATAATTGTATCCTTTACTCAGTTCAATATGTTTTGTGAGCATCAGCCCACTTCATACACTTCCCTGGGAACACAGCAGTGCCTAACAGTCCCTCAAATGAACATATCGCAGGGTTCATTTAACTGTGCCCATCTCATTGGCCCCATTAGGTCACTTCCAATGTTTCGCTATATTACATAAAACAAAGACCATTTGCATCTTTGATTATTTTTCTCATGACAAATTCCTAAAAGTGGAATTGCTGGGGCAGGTAGTACAAAATTCTAAGACTCATGACTAAATGGATGGAGAAGGTTCTGCAGTTTCTATCCCACTCAGACAGTCCCCAAAGACCTAGTCCCACACCACCAAGTTACCGCAAGTTTTCCCACCACCACACAATAAACATCACACTAGAGATGGCATGTAGCCAAATGCATATGTTCAAACAGTGGCCCTAAACTTCACACCCAGTATTTAGTAATTCCAGAACAAATGTAGCACAAAAATCTCCCAATTTAAGATTACTGACGCAATCTGAACTGTAAGTCCTGAATCTACTATTAGAGTTTGAGGAATTTTTAGATTATCTGCTAATTGTAAGATGCCACAGGTGACAAATGCTTTTTTTTTTTTTTTAAACAAGCAAACATATACTAAGCTGAAATTCCTTACCACATCAGCACAATAACACCTTTCAGGAAGTTGTAGAACCATCATAGGATTTGATGATCGGGTATCCCAAAACTGAAAGCAAAACAGAGGAGCCAATAGGTAACCATTCAAGAGCCGAAGTCCAAATGGTGTAAGAATAAGTGTCCATCCTCATGGAGACATACACTCTCTCAACTGCTATTATACCTTTAAAGTCTTATCCCAGCTCCCGGTCATCACGCAGCTGTAGTTTGGAGCTTTGATCCAATGTATGGTTTTTACAGGTGCATCATGCTTTCGACAAGACCAAAACAAAACAGATCAAGGTGAATGTAACACTGTGCTAAACAGCTTTAGTACTGGAAGTTCAGAGAAGGAACTAATTTAAATACTGAGGTCATACCACACAAAAATCAAAGGGTATTTTAGTGCTTCCCCAGGACCAAAATATTTAGTTTAACACAAGAGCATGTATCTACCTTCCATCCTAAGAAACTTTAATTTGATTTTTACCCATAATTAAGTGAGAAAGCCCCTCCCGAAGGAGATACTGAGAAATAACCAGTAAAGAACTCCACCACAGCTTTATTTAGCTACTCAGGTGACATGAATTAAGAAATCAAGGAGGCGCTTCTAGTCCATACCACTGCGATCCCAGAGTATGTAACATCTTTCTGAAAATGTTTCAGTATCAAGGGGTTCTTCCTGGACCCCCCTGACCAGGCTGGACCCTCTGGGTTCTAGGTTCTCTCATCATCATCATCATCACTTCTGCCCTTTCTCAGTGTTCTTCTCACCAGAACCACCTGTGGTCTCTGAGTAGACTCAGAAGGTCCATGGGTGTGAGGAAGTGTTCCTCTACTCACTGCTTTATTTCTAGCCCCTAATGACAGTGCCTAGCATACAGCAAGCATTCGGTTAACACTTGCTGAATGATTGAGTCACCAAATGAAGTTGGTAAAAGGCAAGTCACACACAGTTGTTGGAATGTCAAACATAAATGTCAAGGACCACCTGTAACGCTTGTCTTTTATAGATTTTAATGTCACTAACTCCTTATGATGCCACCTACATATATATGGAAGACCATAACAAAACAATCTGTGAAATATTAGCAAGAACAAGAGTGGTTATAAAGCTTGTGTTATTTTTATGCTAAAGGGCTTTCTAGTATACATAAGTCTAATTGATTCAATATAGTCAAACTGCACTTTTTCTATAATAAAGAATTATTATAATTAAAGAATCATCACAACCCTGGGTATCAGTCTTGCTCAACCTTTCTGCAGAGGGCTATTATTACCTGTGCAATCTGTATTGCTTGATTACTGTTGAGGTCCCACATTTTGGCAGTTTTATCACATGATGCAGTAAATACTTTGCTCCCATCCTAAAATGAAGAAAATTTGTCATTCTAAGAAATATTAAATTTCTATGTGCACACTTAGATATTAGGTTGAACATGCTGAGGGAAGTTTTGTTTTGCAATTTTTATTTTTTCCAATTATTTGAGGGCCAGTATATTGCAAACTACAGTGTTGCTCACAAAGCACAATTTCAATTCTATATTTTATTACTGATTTCTAAGAGATAATATAAACACATAAAAAAAAAAGCACTTAAAGTTATGTAATAAAAACTAAGTCTCTTTTCCATCCCTGATCCCAGCTTCTCAAAGGCGACTATGGGCCACTAAATTTTTTTCTTATTTTGATAAACTTCAAGCCTTCAGCAAACTGCAATAGTATAATAAACACCCATAAACATTTCACCTACGTTCACCAATTGCAAACATTTTGGCACGTTTACTTTCTCTCTCTCTCTATACACACACATATATCTATAATCATTATCACTTCTGCTCAACTCCATACTTAACAGCACTCCAAAGTATATGCAATAAAATCACACTAATTTACACTAATCATTGGTCCTATCTGAACTGTAGAATAGTTTTTAAAACAGTCACATACAGAACTCATAAAGTAGATCTACTCTGTCACTGCAGCTTGAAGCGCCCATACACATTATGTAATGAATGAGTATGGCTGCATTCCAATAAAACATTATTTACAAAAATAGGCAATGGGCCAAATTTGGATCATGAGCCAGGGTTCGCTGACCCCTGGCTTAGACTATTTCATGTCTATTTCCAGAGTTCAAAGATTTACCACCATACTCCCCAGGTAAAAATTTCTTTCTGTCTGAAGATACCAGTCCTCCATCCAAAAGAAGAGATAAAACCTGCTCCTCATTCTATTAATAAAGTTATAAGGATAACTCTACAAATCCTTGGAAATACAGCAATTTGACTGGTAGATGGCTGAATCAATGCTGATACATCCATATAATGGAATACTACTCAGCAAGGATAAACTACTGATACACAAAACCACCTGCATTATGTTGAGTGAAAGAAGTAGACTCAAACGGTTACATACTACAAGATTCCATTTATATAACATTCTTATAAAAGCAAAACTATAGGAAAAGAAAACAGAGAAGTGGTTCCTAAAGGCTGGGAGTTGGGGAGAATTTGACCACAAATGGGCAAGAGGAAATATGGGGGCTGATGGACCCATTCTGTATCTTTTTTTATTTAGAAAAAAATTTTTGGCAGCTGTCTGGTAAGGGGATGGTAACCTTGGTGTTAACACCACCACACTCTCCCAAGTAAGTTAACCAGCCAGCCTATGGATCTGTTCTATATCTCGAACACAACTTTATGTGCTTCTCAAAACTCACAGTGTACACTAAAAGTGTTCAGTTTTACTGTATGCAAATCAAACTTAATAAATCTGACTGAAAAATATAGGTATGAAGCCTCAGAAGGGGCCTTGAGGCTTAGCTTTCTCGGCATGGCAGTACACCTGCCTCTGGCAGTCAGGCCCCTTTGTACTTTCACTCCTGTTGGGTTCAGCCAGCAGCAGCAGTGGCGGGAGGAGGGAGGAGAGAAAGGCTGGCATGTGAATCCCTGGGCTCCTCCACGCCAGGCTGAGGCCGGCTGCCGTGCTCTGCTACTGGGGCAGTGGCCTCTCCACAACTGCAGCTCTTGCTGTGCTTCTGCAGTCCCACCCCTATGGCCTGCCACAGGTATTTCCTCTTCCCTGCTTTTTCTTTGTAATGGTCCATTCATCATTAAACTATCCTCAATCAAAAACAAAAGAAAGAAAAACTCAGAGCCAAACAAACTTGAGCACATTTGCTTATATTGCTGATGTTCAAGATCTGGGGAAAAAGGGAATTCCAAAAAACCAAAAACACTTCAAGTGTGTAATAATAGAAATGTATTCTCTTTTTTTTTTTCCTCTAAGATTTTCTGGGATAGTAAATTCCCAATTTTAAAATTACATAAGGCTGAGTGGTCAGCTCAGTTGGTAAGAGTGCAGTGTTATAACACCAAAGCCAAGAGTTTAGATCCCCTTACCAACCAGCCGCTAAAAAAAAAAAAAAGCTTACGTAATATAACAAAATAAAATAACATAAGCTCACGGCATATTTAGAGGTAGAAAAGGCTTTAAGAAATTAATCACTTGCTCATGGTAACATGTCAATAAAATAATGGATTTTTTTAATACGAGGAAAGCTTTCAGAGAGTGCCTAACTAAGGCTAACATTAAGATCAATAAATTACTCTACATTCAGAAACTTAGAATTCCTGCAATGTGGATACATACATGCCATTTGTGTTCAGATTATTAAATGTGCTAAATTACAGGGTAAAAGAGAACACCAGAAATAGAGTGAAACATACATCACTCCAGCAGACATCTAGTACAGGCCCGGTGTGCATCTGCTGGGCTTTTGGAATGGTTTGTCCACTGTCTTGAACTTCCCAGCAGCGAACCTGTAGTGGCAAGACAAATTAATGCAAACAAGGCAATCTGCGATGCACTACCTAAATTTAACACCTAATAACTAATGGGGTGCAACTGGTCTATACGTGGACTTCTCATATAGACCTAATTATCTAACTTTAAGAACAAAACAACTGAATTGCATACGCAAGCAGCTATTTTTCTACTGCTAAGCCATTAAAACATAGAAATTCTACTGCTTGCACCTAAAACTGCAGAGAATTTTTTATCACATCTATGACATATCTGACTTCTAAAGTAGAATATCACTTATCCATTATCATTCAGAGAATCAAGACCAAAGTGGAAACTCACCTTTCTTCTCTGAACATCTTACTGCAATTTTTAATATTTCTTCCCTCATTATAAAAGTGATGTATTTTAGAAATTTTAAAATATGACAAGAATATAAGAATCACCCTAACGCCACCACAGACAGCCATGGTTGATAGTTCTATGTGCTTTCAGTCTTCTATGCACACATAATTTTGGAAAAAAACTAGATTGTGCTACATTATACTAGATTGTATGTATACCTTCACTTTTGTAACTGCACCATTAGCCTATTCATCTTTAAACATTCTTCTAACATTTTTTAGCAGCAAATCAATTGAAATCTTTCCAGAAACTACACGTAAAAAGCAAACTTGCTCAGCCTTGACTACCCTCCTCCCTACTGTTCTTTCCTCATCCCCCCACCGCACCACCCTGTCTCCCTGTTACAGGCCACAGTTTGAAACCTTTTCCAAAAACTTACAATGGTATCCCATCATGTGAACATACCATAAATTATCATCAGTTAGATACTGCAGTAGTCAAATTCTCCACTAGCATAACAACTTCTTTTATGGGAAGCCTATAGGGCAGCGGCCAGGAGCACGGACTCAGAACTGGACCAGGCAGGTCTGCAACCTGCCTTGCTGCTCATTCAGACATCTGACCTGAGGCCAGGTATTTCACTTCTCTAAGCCTCAGCATCCTGATTCATAAAATGGAGATGACAAGAAGTCCACAGTGCTTTAGCTGTTGTAGATTAATTCAAATAATGCATATAAAGTACATTATCGGATTTCCTCCTCAAGTCTAAGCCTCAGCATCCTGATTCATAAAATGGAGATGACAAGAAGTCCACAGTGCTTTAGCTATTGTAGATTAATTCAAATAATGCATATAAAGTACATTATCGGATTTCCTCCTCAAATCCCAGAAGAGGAATCAATGACACAAAGGGTATAAACTTAAGGATTTCTGATAAATATCCCAGAAGAGGAATCAATGACACAAAGGGTATAAACTTAAGGATTTCTGATAAATATTGGCCAATTACCCTCTAGAAGAGCTCCACCAATTTACATACCTACCAGTAATACATGTAAAGTTTCCGTTTATCCTTGCTAGCACTACTATTCCTTTAAACTTATTTTAGTTGATTTGGTAGAAAAAGGAGTCTATCATGTAAATTTACGTTTATCGGATTACAAGTGTGGTTGAATGGTTTAAATTTACCCAAATCATCCTCTTGTGCTCCTTCTTTTGTGAAGTGCCTCTTCACATTCTTTGCTTATATTTGTACCAGAACTTTTATCTTTTTGTATATCATAATTTTTTGTCTTTCTTTTTGTACACAATGGGCAAATGTAATGTCTATGCAGGATTTGTGCTATTATCAAACGCTGAAAACATTTAATATATGCCTGAAGGACATTCTTACAGGATACCAGGAAGGGTAATTTGCTTATGTCTGCCATCATGGATAATATTCATGCTCAATGAATATTACATTTGACTTGGGAATACACTTCAAGATACTGAACTACAGTAGGATTTGGTGGGGGAGCTACTGGCCAGTACAAGGATCGAACCCTGGATCTTGGTGTTGTCAGCACCATACTCTAACCAAATGAGCTTACTGGCCACCCCTAGAGAAGGAATTTCTGAGAAATGCATATAATTGTGCTTTCCTAACAAAAAAACTCAGTGTAAGAACAAGTGATGTCTGACATTCAGAGGGGCTCACATCTTCTAAATTGATTTCTTTAAAAAGGCCACAAATAAGCCTTAACTCTGATTTATTCACTTGAGAAAGAACAGAGTGAAAGCTAACCTTGACCATACAAAGAAATACGATTTACAGAACACCCATTTAAGGAACACTTACATCATTAGCCCACGATCCTGCAATAAGAAAGTTCCCCGTCAAGGTTGGTGGGCTAAAAGATAGACAACCAATGCTATCATCAGGAGAAGATGTTACTTCAATATCCTGGGGGGAGAAGTCAGTGTTAAAACATATGCATCATCACAATTTAATTCAAAATTGCTTTCTTTCTCACTAAACACTAAACACTAAGTCTCATGGTGGACTTTCCCTGTGCTCAACGATTAAATGAATTAGACCTTTCCTTACTTTGATCAAAAAGGAGAGTAATAAGCCAGCGAAAGTACTGGCACTGCTAGGACTAGAAGCAGCACTCTAAATAAAATGCCCACAGCCACATTTTCTAAATGATGGCCCACTCTTGCCCCAGTGCTTAGTCATAATTACCGCCTGCCCTCCCCTCTCCCCATCACAGAAATTCTGATTCAGCAGTCCTGGGCTGGGCCCTGAGAATGTGCAATTTTAATAAGCACCTTGGGTGACTCTGGAGAACTGTAAAATCAGGACACCAGTCCAGAAGACACATATTTTCTGGGCTCAAGTGTTTGAGAAAGTTAGGCTACGCAAAGTTTTAGAGCTTTCACCCCCCAAAAAAGCTCCCAAGCCATCTTGGTTTATTCTGCTATCACTGATATGGAAACTCTGGCCTGAACTCTTCTCTACAAACCCTGTGAAGCCTTATGTGGTACCTTCATAGGGTTGTGATTATCTGTGGTTGTGCTGCCAAACATGCTGGTCCCACCAGTTCCAAAACCCGAAGTTGTCCCAAACAGACTCATTTTGGCCTGAAAAAATAATAATATATATTAAGGACAGGTCCTTTCTTAAGTAATAAATATCACTGAGAGGCAATACAAAGATTAAGTCACAGAAGGAATATACTCTAAATGGCTTGATACCAGCCCTCTCTCTTTAGAATAGATCTAAGAATGCCATAAGCTGAGTGCTTTTTTAAAATAAGCTTTCTATTTTAGAATAGTTTAAGGTTTACAGAAAATTGGAAAGATAGGGCAATTCCCATACACTCTATATCCAGTTTCCTCTATTATTAACATGTATATCAGTACGGTACATTCGTCACCATTAATCAACCAATATTGATACATTACAGCAAAGTCTAGAAAATAAATTTGCTCATTCTTCACACAGAGACACTAAGCATTGCACCAGGGATACCACAGTAAATTAGACAGAAGGTTCCCACTCTCTCAGTTTTCCAGGTAGTGGGGACTTCACTTTCTTTTTACTAGTTTCTGCATTCTGGTTTAGCACAATATCTTTGCATGAAATTAGGTATAAGAACAACCAGTCCTGGCAGTAATTCAGAAATTACTTTTTAAAACTCCTTCTACATAATCACTTTGGTCTCCTTAAGTACCAAGAGGTCTGGCATTATGTTTTGGACATTTACCCAGAAAAAAACTTCCCCCTCACCCCTGGCAGTAATTCAGAAATTACTTTTTAAAACTCCTTCTACATAATCACTTTGGTCTCCTTGAGTACCAAGAGGTCTGGCATTATGTTTTGGACATTTACCCAGAAAAAAACTTCCCCCTCACCCCCCCGAGTTTTTTCCTGGGCATCATCCTACTCCAGCACACCCACCAGGGTTTGAACAGGGCCTCTGCCACTCACCAGAGCTGGGACCCTAATCTCACCCTCACTTTTCTGCTCTGCAAATACAGAGAATATTAACACCTTCTCCAGGGTTGCTCTGAGATCAAATCAGATTATGTAGAAAGTGCAGTATCTAGCACTAGTGGGTACAATAAACAACTTTCCCTTCTTTTTTCCTTCCAAGGAGAAAGCCTATGTATTATAACTTCCTGATGACTTACATATATAGATGCCACATATTCAATTCTATTATCGGTTAGCAAATTTTTACACCCAGAGTCTACCATGTCAGTCACTTCTCCAAAAGGAGCCTAACACTGAGTGGCATACTTGCTAAT